AGTGAAGCTACTTCACGAACCGGAAGTGCGTCCGATGGCCGCAGTTTACTTACACAAATAAACTTCGGAACAGTCATCTAATGTTGACTCATGTTTGGGCTTGTGCTGTTGTCAATTATATTTATATAATGTTCATGTCATGGGAAGTGTGATAGTCATAGCTAGAATCTAGGCTAATCCAGCCTCCATCTCTTGTTCAGTGTATCTTCCAGCTCCCTCTCTCTCTCTCCTTAAGCCTATACAAATAATTCTTACTCAGTTTTCTTCACTCATTGAGCTTATTCAGAACGTTGGCTGCTTTGATAACTTCTATAGACTCCCTAATATTACGTTTCGATAGAAAATCCACGTTTAGAAATTTGTGTGTTCTAGGAGGCACTCCTAGTTCCAAAGTTATTAGTCTAGCATATGGAAGATTACCTTGCTATTTGGCAACACGGCAAAGATAATAGTTGCTTGGCCTTGTTTTCGATACTTGGTCATATTGGCAGAGAGACCTAGTCCGGAGTCCATGGTATGCATGATGATTTTCAGATTCGAAGCGTGGACTTGGTACATTTCCAGATGTTTCACCGGCATCGTCAGTTAGCCTCGCCATTCGTAGCACCACACATCAACTCATCAAAGAGGCAAGTGAAATCGATCCTTTGACCAATTATCTGCTAAACAGCTGTGGTATTTCTTCTTCTGACCTGAACAATTCAACTTTCCTATCTCCAAACGTTAACCACTTCGTTACATTGCCACGATTGTCCTTGGGTCACAGGACAGATGTGAATTTAAAGAAGGCCAGGCATTTTTCCATATCACATTCGTTGGTAGTAGTGTCGATAAAGCAAAGTTATATTTGCTATAACATTACTTATTTTTCGTTCATAAGCAGAGTTTCGCTTTAAACGAAATAGGGTGAAAACATCTCATTTGACTGATTTACTGGTTGTTTCGAAACTCTGCTTATAAACGAAAAATAACCCTTACCCTTTATCTAATATATTTTTGCTCAATTTTTAAATTATGGGTTCTTGTTTTGATGATGTCTGTCACAGTACAGATGAAAGCTTAGCACAGTTTTATCGGCGTCGCAGAACGATGAGCCGAGGACTTCTTCGCACAATACACCAGGATTCTCTATGTGACAAACCTCCTTCAGCTTCCGGTGCGACCACATCATGAATTTCTCCCAAACAACTTTTTTTTCGAAATGGAAAGTCATGTCATAACATATCACTAAGGAATTCTTCGACACCCAGTTTTTTATTCATAAAAACAGGAATGTTTTAGTCTGGATACCATTAAGTTTAAACAGGACATAATCCAAATATATAAACAGGATAAAACACTTTCAAAATATGTTAAAACGGCTATAAAATACTCGGATAGCTTCGGAGCCGAGAAGAATCAAATTTAGGGAATTAACTTATGCCATAAGAAATGAGGAATTCCAAGTATAATTTAAAGCATTCAAAGTCAGTCTCAAACTGTGTTAGGAGTGAAATTTATTTGAACTATATCCCCTTAATTCAACACCTCATTTTGACTATAAATCACATTTAGTTCACTAGTGCAAACGCAGGCAGCCATATCTTGACAAAAATATTTAAATTTGGAATGAAAAACATTTTCTTACTATCTCACTCCTTCCTACAGCAGTAAGTAAAATGAGATGCAAAGTAAAACGATGGAAATAACTAAAATTATTAGAGTTTGAATTAAAATGCACAAAATTCGGTGTATAGGGTTTATTTTCAAGAAAGAAAGTATTTTCGGCATTCATAAATATATGGACACGAGGAAAAGATTGATAAGGCTGGAAGGGTCATATTGATATCGTTCGACTTACCGCCAAACTGCCCACAGACGCCGGGTCCTATAGTCCCACCGACACCTGAGCCGTTTCCGCCACCAACAATAGAAGCCGCAGTAGTTCCTGTAGCACCGACAGAAACAGAAGTAGCAGGAGTCGACGAAGATGCAGCGGACGAGGAAGACGAGGCAGCAGCGGAAGCTAAGCCTAGCAGGCCACCAGAAGAGTTTGTTCCCAGGTTGCGAACGTCACCAGTAACAGTGGGATAACTGGCCCCACTGCCGCCAAGACCGAAGGCAAGACCTCCAAGGTAAGCCTGGTTGAGAAATCCAGCTACAGCACTATTCAACTGAATGGCTGATTTTTGAGCCTGCTTCACCTGAAACAAACAAATTTCTGTTTGTAATGAAATAATCTTCTTCAATGTTATATTGGATATATCTAAATATGCGAATATCTGCAGAAAAGGGCGTAATACCAGGGTGATCCATTAATCGAAGGAAGGCTTTCATACCACTAGTGAACTACTTGGAAAAGAAAGCCATAATTTTAGTGCGATATATAGGCAATACCGGACCAGGGATATTCATACGATGTAACTTAACCTTCAAGTATTTGCGACAAGTCTTGTTCCTCGTAAATGGTATTAGATAAATGATGGGTAGAAGAAAATGCTGCATATATTGTGTTCTATAAAAATCATAAAATTCTTAACAGAGAAAAGAGCGTCGTAACATAATATCGAGAGGTGCAGAAGTGGATTTATTTATGAGGCTGATGGCAGAAATTGTATTGCCTTTATTGGATAGATGTTTTAGTGAGATAGAATTAGTGTCAAATTTAAGGATACAATTTAAATGACGTAAAGATGAACCATTTTGTAAAGTTTAATACGGTACTATAAAGGAATCCTTAAAAAAATTTAATTTAAAACAATTAATTAGGAAACTGGAGTTTTTAATATATTTTACGTTGCTACCAAGAGTGATCTGCTTTTTACGGACTTTGTGAAAATGTATGCATATAGGATCTGAATAGTCATCCGCGATAAAATGATAGGCTGTACACTGCAAAGCTATCCCAATTTTTTTTCGTAAAGGGCGGAATAAAGAAGCCTATTTCGAGGGACCTCTTGGCCTATTCGTTTCATTTTACTTTCACTCAGTTCTGAAGTGTCTGATAAAGAGCTAAGTAGGCAAATATTATCCTTGGTATGCTCTCGTTTGGTTTTATAAAATTTTTCGTCTATAACAATCCTCGAGAAACTCTCCTCTCGACCTCTCCCCGTACAGTCACAATCATAAATTTAATTTCACATTAACATAACGACATTTGCAATCGAATCTACTGGAAAGAGATAGAGATTTTGATATGCTTTAATACTAGGAAAGCTTTGTGGATATGCCCAAGGTGGATGTGTCTCCTCCAAAAAGAATGACTAATATCTATGACTTTGGTTTTAATTAAAGTAACGCTCCCAACAATTATGTTCGAAAAACTAATAAACTTAGATGAATGAGTGCCTTTATTGACGAGCTTTTGGTTGAAAAGAAGGGGCCATTAAATATTAATTAAATTAGGGTATATAGCTCTGCTCTGTTCTGACAACTCGGGAGCATCACTTCAGTTTCGTATGTCCACAAATATATACGCACGCATATTCAAATCGAATCAACCCTGGATGAGAACAGGATGACTAAAACCTTTGGGTATAGATATATGGTAGGTAAATAACCAAATATTGCTCTGTCTGTAGTTAGTTGAGCCGTTTTATGAGGATATTTGGAGTAGACTAGCCGATTAGTTTTATTGACTCACTATAGGCCCGAGATTGCTATATAAATGGTTACATAAATGATGAGTTCTATCCTATAAGAGAATATGGCTTAGCATGTTCTCAGCATAAACAAATGAGAGTGTCTCTCGGATAGTGTTGCTATGTGAAAACCTCAATAAAGCCAGATTAGAGAAGAAGAGAAATCCTATTTCGTCTTTTGGTGGAAATCGCTTCTTCCCAAACTTTCAAATTAAATGAAATCCACGTCAAGAGACGAATGATGAGTAAGCAAATAAAGTATACATTAGAATTATTATATCAAAGTGTTAATTAAGTCGGCTAGCCTTCCAAACTAGGTGACAACTTAAGGGTAATCTACTCCCAAAGTTACGAGTCAATAATGTATGTCAAGTAACAAAATAAGATCAGGAAGTTATAAAGTTCCTAAAAGGTATGTCCAGATTTTGCCCGACTAAAGCAAGAATCTAATATGATCAAATCAATCTGACTACCACTCATAGTTGTGTTCTAATAAGGATAATTGTTGAATTATTTATGATAAATTGAAAGGCAAGAATTGAAAAATAAGCAAGTGTCTGTAAGGAGACAGTAAACTTAAAAAAATAATGAGATTTTAAACACCTAGTCTAATCATATACATTTATATAAGCGATTTCGCAAGATAACAGCAGTATATCATTAGGATTAGCTGAATGCTTTTATTTATGTGACTCATCAAGAGGCCTGCAAGGATGGCATGGCCTGTCATATTCAATAAGTTTTCATCCCGTAATTTCTTCGTCTTATCTGCCGTGCCAAAGCATCGTAACAGATCTCTCTTGCTTTTTTATATTGAGATATTCAACAGAATGAATGAGTAAGCTAGGAGGTTCGGACCAAACCATTGAACTAGGCACCGACGAAACTCAAGATTATAGGCAATTACTAGGGCAAAGGATAGATAAAGAATGCAGTTCAGTCTAGATAAAGTAGTATTTTGGTGTTATATGGTATGCAGACGAAAAAAGCAAATATGCATTTAGATTTCGATCAACTGTGAGTAATTTAAACAACAATAAACTAATTATTCGTTTGGTAGTAGGGTTTCGAGACTACTAGTAAATCAGATAAATAAGA